CACGGCAGCCCCAGTCTAAGGCGCGCAATTCTCAGTGCAGAGTTGCGTCCCTTCGGCGCACACGAGAAACCCATGATTGTGGGTTCGAATCCCGGTTCGCCCCGAATATTTTTCTACGTTTGTCAGCACTATACTCGTGCTCGTGGGTTTCACCAAAGTGTTAAACGTCCATGATCTGCATCACTTCGGGCTTTCCAGCTATATGACGGCGGTCTGCAAATAATCGAGTCTGGACCAGACACTCCAGTGATCGACATCATGAGCATCGATCCAAGCAATTCGGATACGATAACATGCATCATCCAAGTCAGCGAGCCTGACCAACCGATCCCGTTAGTCGCCTCTTACGACAAGCATAGTCACCTAAGACGGCAAGCATGGGTTGCTGAAGACTTTTCCTTCCCCGGCTTTTGACGGGTCAGAAACACCCTGAATATCGTGACTACCTCATAGCATACAGGAAACAAAAACACCCAACATGCCAACGCACAACCGTATTCGAAATTAGCTCCATACACTGCGACGAAGGAGGAAAACGAAACTTCACTGTTATGCAAATAATGTTTTAAAAGTTGATAATAAAAATTAAGGATTAATATCGCATTACTCAGTAAAATTCTTCACCTGATGCCAGGTTTCGCGTTTCTAAACGGAATAAACGTTTTCATAACATTTCAAAACCTTGACATTTTCGTTAAGGTTTGAAATCAACAACCTCAAGTCTCTGTCAGGAAAATGTCGTGGTGATCTGTATATAGATATCAGTACTGTTCTACATAAAAGGGCTTCCGAAGCTATGCTATTTTGAACACAAGGATTTGTAGTATATATGGAATATACACTGCTTGTCTCAACCGGTACCCAGCCGTTCTGTGCACTTGACTGTGAGATAAGGTATAACAGCCTCTAGACTGGCTAACAGTCGGTGTTTATTTTCATGGGCGAATCATCCAGTTACTCAGCAATCATAAACACAAATCCCAAATTTCCAGACATTTTGTGTTTGAGAAAATGTATTGAAATAAATGTGTATGTTTACAAACGATATGATTATTTAACAGTTTGGAGAATAAATGTAAACGAGACTTCCACAAGTCTGTATATACACACTGGCTTTCTCGGACAATGGACGCTATTTGTGGCCCCTGGTTCTCCTGTGTACACTACACTTATTATGAAGGCCATGTGGCCGGCTTATTACACGTTCAGGAATAAAAGCACAGCTTGATCTGTACGAAAATATAAACATATAAGAAGGTCGAATTAATTTGCAAAAACAGACGATTCTATGTTCTTTTGATGTAGCCTTTAGAGTTATTACTGCATATCTACTGTAATTACTACATGTCTACTGTAATTACTGCATGTCTACTGTAGTTAAGTAATTTTCTTTGTTGTTTAACGCCGTATTCAGCAATATTCCAGCTATATGACGGCGGCCTGTAAATAATCGAGTCTGGACCAGCCAATTCAGAGATTGACATTATGAGCATCGATCCACACAATTTGGACACGATGACATGTCACCGAGCCTTGCCACCCGATCCCGTTAGTCGCCTCTAACGAAAAGCATGGGTTACTGAACATCACTTCCAACCCGGCTAAGTAAGGTGAGAAATAATGTTGTCATACGGGGGCTGTAAATAACCGAGTCGATGTATGATAAACCAGTGGTCGATAACACAAGCGACGTCCAGCTGATAAGAATCAATTTCAGTATTTTTTGTGTTGAAAACCGGGGAGCTTTTGGTGTTGCGGATTTACACCGGTTTTAACATTTATAACTTCATAAACGCAAAAACATTTTGAAGTAAAATCTTATTAATAAATATTTCAATGATAATAACTTCACAGACTGTGTTTTTAATCATTAACACATACAAAAATGTAGACAACAATATCGAATCAGTGACATCGTTTACTATAAGGCAACATAAACCCCGACCATTCTATTATCAGAAAACAGTATTCCGTTGGTGGGCGTGGCCTAATTATTTTCCGTCTTATAAAACATGAACGGATAAAAATGCTTGGTAAGTCAATCAACATCTTCCCGAAGCAAGGGTCTTAACTGACTATAAAAGTCCAGTTTCCACTCTTGCCGAACTAGGCTGGAATTATGGAGTTATACTTTGGCTGGACTAATGAGTCTATGCATAGTCCAATCAAAATCGCGTAACAAAAACGACATCCGGTTTGTAAACAGCCTCGCAGATTTCGGTCAATTGCAGGATTTACAAAACATGTGTACCGACAACTTAGCGTCAACAGACACTTCTCAAATCTTTTTTTGTTTTTTTAATCATGGTGCTCACGTGATTTGATGCACTCCGCGAAGTAAGGACCTTTTTATTACAAAAGAGATCTTGATTATTCAACAGATCGTCTGGACTGGACGACGCCAGTTTATTTGGAGATAATGCAAGTAATATGAGCGGTGGAGTCTGATTGGTCAATAAGGGACATAACTCATTAATAGCTACTGGTGGCGCTACGATCGAGCCAAGAAATTCCAGCCTGGTTCGGAAAGGGTGGAAACTGGACTTTTACTGTCAGTTAACTCCCTTGCCTAGAGAAGATGGTCAATCAATGGCAACGGAATCACTTGTGATTTATTTACAGTTTAGTTTTTCTAAAATTGTTTATTGTCTAAATTATTGTTTCGATTTTTTAAAGAATTTATTACTTCAATATCTTTTTGCGTTTCTGGGGGTTGAAAGGTCAAAACGGGTGTGCATATTGTGTAAATCCCAGTAGTGTGGTGGCCCGAAAGAGCTGAAATGCTCCTCTTATGAGAATATCAGGCCACTCAATTAGATAAGCTACTCGTTATTTGACCGAAAAAGCCAAATGTCCTCTTTATATTGAAAAATTCCAAACATGATCCCGCACGAATTATAAACATCATTTGGGTACATATTAAGCACTAAAGTAGACTAACAATCAGTCTGCATGGATTTTGTCTGGGTATTATATATATTTTCAGGTACAGCTGCAAAACCAGATATTTTAAAAAATGAAAAATTATGAGCCTGAATAGTTTTCAAGAAAAACACCCTGCAACAATGAAATTTTTGTGGCAAACTATTTCTTTCTTTTCTGAGGCATAATTATTTCATAGACAATTTATTTATGTATGCTAAATGAAGCAAGTCTAGGTTTTACACACGAAAACTCTCATTTCACTTTGCCTCCTTCTAACTTAAATGAATTTTATTTTTTCTTTCAAAATTTAGTCAAACTGAGATACGATGCCGTAGTTTAACATGGATACCCCACTTAGACACAGTCCTTGCTCCGTCCGCTTATTGCTGAGCGCCAGGCAGGGGAAAACCAAGTACAATCTTTTGACGTATTTCGGTATGACGTGGCCAGGGGGTCGAAACACCGACTTTGCGCTCCCGGCTAACACTCTATCCACTACACCACGGAAGTCGGTACAAAAACAAAATACATCGCCATAGAACATGCATCATTGAAATGTGGCATGAAGGCAAACGACTCCAGATAATTGATTTTTACAACACTTTGTTGAACTTATATTCACGAACACGGTTAAAGCTCGCATGTGTGATATTGCCGCGTTGTGCGTGTGCTTGCGTTTGCGTGTGTGCGCGCGCGTGTGAATAAGGCTGCATATCTTTGTAACTGCCTCTGTTCATTGTATAGAAAGTAATTATATTCGACAAAAGGCCTTCAATGAGAAAATATTTATTAGTGTAAATTTCAGATAACTGGTTTTGGGTTTCACATTCGAACAGCCAAGTGACAAAATGACGTATGTTACCCGCTAAATACATCTCCACTGGCGACGAAATGTTGTCCTTTAATGTTTTTCTCGTCTCTAAATTAGAAATTTGTCATATCCTATAATGAACCTAAATTAAGATATATACAAGGATCCTACATATACACAGCAGTTGAATTGTCGTATATCTAACTGGCCTAATTATGAAATCAACACGTTTATCTCGCCCGTACCAACATATGTCTGTTTCCATTGTGTGAAGTAAGACCTGCTTTATCTGTTGACGCATGCGTATAAAACTGATGACATATCACAGTAGCTGGGGCTCATACATACATTTACTAAATGCCAGGAAGCTGGTTTGCATTTTCCCTATTCAAGTTGCTATTATCACAGGGACTGACGATAAAGAAGATACTACCAATATGTTTTGGGGATGGGTGTCTCAACCAGAACAACATTATCCTATGTAATAATCCGTCTGCCAAAAATATTGATCTGGTTTAACAAAACAACATTGTGTGTTTGGTGATGTATGATAGGTGGTATTGTCCAATGATGATGATGATGATGATGATGATGATAATTTCTGGTATTTTTCATGCTATTTTCTTACGCTGGGTTTCCTTGAGATATTTACTGAATCAATAGATTCATCATTTCTTTTTAATTTTGTATCAGACAAAATGTGACACATGCATGCCTATATTTGATGTTTGATTATATTACCTGCATGTAATACTTTCATATCAAACGAATTTTGAATTATTTTAGAAACTCCATCGCAGGAGATTATTTTCTTGGTTCAACAAAAATAGAAAAGTGAGTTTATCTCCTGTAAACAACTGTGAAGCCTCAAAAATTGTTGTCGCACTTAGTTTTACCTTGAGGGCACGTACAAACATAGCAGAATTATCTCCCTTAGTTAATACTTGTCGTTTCTCTTCCGCAATGTACCTTCAGCGCGACTTATTCAGGCTTTGGTGATCGTCAGCGTGTTATTGGCTGTTATTTCCTCGCCGCCTTTACGCTAGTTTCCATGACGTCACGTGACGTTCTGAGACCCGAAGGGAGAATGGGATTTGAGTTTTCATATTGGAGGTTGTTCGTTAGTAATACTCTCATACCGTTATTAAATGTTCACTTGATCGCACTTATCGTATAAAGTAGAAGATGTGCATATGTTGCTTTTTTATATTCATTAACTGTAGTATTTATTAATCATCTGTTCGGAATTGGGCTTCAGCATGTACCCCTTCACTGAGCCAATCCCCCATTGAAAGCCAGCCCGACATGTTGCGCTTATAGAAAAGGCTCGGTAAGAGCCTAAATTTCGGGGGTTTCAAAACAGTATATTAGAAAACGACTCTACTACAACACTGGGGGATTTCTATTTTATACGGAACAACACGATCCAAAACCAAAGAAGAACATTGTGGCGAAGAAGCTTGTGGTTTCCGACAGCCAGGCGGGTCATGGTCGCTGCGGGAACACCTTTGTTATAACCAGACCTTGTCGATCCCAATTCTAGACCACTCGCCTGCCTACAGACTGTAGGACATTTCAGTCAGAAAGGTAAGAATACCCTTTTCGTTTTGAGATATGATTTCTCGATCGTCATTTTAAAAAATTTCGTGTTTGATAGGCAATAGATGGTGGCGTATGGTGTTTTCATTCGCCATCAACACTGCCGATCGCCTCGTGTTCCAAGGACGTGAATTTAGTCTATTCTGTATGTTGGCAAACTGTGTAATTAAACGTTTCCTCTTCCCTATTTCCCTGTAACTGTTTTTTTAACACACACAAAATGACGAAATATGTCAATTTTATGACGGTGTTTATAGTAAAGAGATCGAGGTCGATCCTCATCAAGTGATTCATGCAGAGGCCAGTCGATGATATGTTGTGATGTAAACAGAGCTCAGAACAGCTGATCATGTTCCTGCCGCCGTATCATTACAAGGCATTTCTCATCACTGCCAAGGCCAAGCACAACTGTTATAATTTTGTCCTTTTATTTAATTCATTAATTCTGCAACATATGTCAGATTAGGTATTTATTAAGTCATGCATCAAACCTTTTTGTAAGAGATGGCAAACGTATGGTATATCATTTCTGCTGGGACAATTTTGTGTGAAAATTATGAGACTATTACAGCCCAAAATGTTCTCAAGTTTTGTGTCAAAGACTATGATAATGTTACCAATTGTGTATGTAGCCATTTATTATTGCATTTGAGGTCAATTCTTAATGCATACATTTTGAAATGGGTAGGTGTCTATTTGTATTAATATGTAGGAGGCAACTGAAGTGGGAGTGTATGTTAGGTTCTGCTGGATTAGAAATTGAAATTCATGTTTTAGAAAAAAAGATGTGCGATAAAAACATTGAAAATAGAGAACAAATTTGGGGGGGATTTTTTTATGAAATCTAGTATACCCAGTCTTCACTACAATAAAATATGCCACAAAATATTCATGGACCCTAACTTTTTTGTTCAGTTTTATAATTGTTAGATGTTTATTATGTGTTAATTGCTTTCATTAACTGCTGCGAGCATACATTTCAGAAGTCACCAGGATTAAGGTTATGTCATAATCTGATGTGTATTCAGTGTAATCAGGGTCATAAGATAAGCAGTAATTACTGACCACTTAAGGCACAGGTTACTATGGAAACTCTGATGATTGTTTTTACAACCCTTCAGTAGGTGTAGGTTCCTTCGACGGTTTTTGAGGAGAAATCTGGTGATAAGCATTGAACCCCCCAAAAGTGGTATGGTTCTGTCCATATTGTCTGTTGCCAACTCAACAAATTTACAATAAAAGTTACATATAATATCATGTTATTATGATTAGTATGTACTATTGTGATGCATTGATGCCCTGTATCAGCATTTATGTTGTGCATTGAAATATCTGCAATAAGATGCTTACTGTTGTTCAGCTGGCACTTATGTGCCATGAGGCGATTGAAAGAGTTATGTCCCTTGTCAGTTGATTGTTGGTTTGGATCCCAGCTTCACCGTGCCTCATACGTTTCACCAGAGAAACACATCACTCTCATTCCATGTGAAGCCCAGGTGCTGGGATATAACTCAGATACTCTTCAAAGAAGCATTTAACCTCACTTGCTCACTCACGACCCGTGAAGGTCTTCAGTAACCCATGCTTTTCGTAAGAGGCGACTAGGCGATGGGGATCTCGCTGACTTTATTGATGCCTGTTATGGTATCCCAATTGCGTGGACCGATGCTCATGATATCAATCACTTGATAGTCTGGTCCAGGCTTGGTGATTTGCAAACTGCCGTCATATAGCTAGAATAATGCTGAGTGCGTTGTTAAACAACAAACAAAACAAATTCACACTAACTTACTCCAGGTATAGACGTGGCTACTAGTCTGAAACGAGTGAAAATCTAGAGGGAATGAACTCTATTTATTTCATATAAGCCACTAGTCAGAAATCATATGTGTACTATGTGGATAATGATCAATGGTGTCTTTCCCTGCACATGCCATACTGCAATACAAATTAACCTCTGTTCGCTTGGCCCACTTGTCATCTTGGAAATAGCAGCACATAAATTGCTGTATGTAGTTGGAGTTACTGACAGGACGTGTAGGCTTGTGCAGGGCATACGGGAGGGCTGCTTCCCCTCTTCAGCAGATAAGAACTTCAAACTCAGCAGTCTCTTCCTCTGTTGGCTCTGGTGGCTGGTGATAGAGACAACAGAGGAAATCCACTTATTATCTGCAATGTATAGGTCTGATTTGACAAGATGTTCCTAGTTGTGTATTATATTTTTGTTTTAAGCTACAACATGAACCCAATTGTGGGTAAAACGTGTGAAGCCCATTTATGGTATTGCTGGAATATTGCTAAAGGAGTCATAGAACCATACTTTTTCACGACGTTTAATATATGCAGCCCTGGATAAATTGAGACTAACATCTAGTCTCTGAAATGAACATATTTTACAGAAAACAGTTGTTAAATTATAGTTATAAAATATCATAAAAAGGAGCCGAAAGGGCTTTCTAATACTGCTGTAATCTAGACTTGCATGGGCTGTATTGAATATCTGTTTCAGGGTCTGTATGACAGGCTAAAGACAAATGTACTTTCTCACAAGTAAACTGGACAAATGATGATCATCTGTATATATGCTTCACAAGACGAACCTAGGGCAGGGTTTTACTTTGACTTAAAAAAGTGGGGGTGCAGGGGATCCCCTATAATTAATTTTAAGGGTCTTTACAGGCAATATTGAGGGTCCTGTAATGAAATGGTGTAGTGTACTCTACATTTTGATAATTTCCTTAGAGCCTGGAATGAATCAATGATCATGTGGACAGTAGTCATGATTGCTGGATGAAATGACAAACACCCGTTACTGCTCTTAATGCGCTGGAGGTACAATGCATATTATTGTGGGTCTCATTAGTATAAATTAAATATATTAGAACAAGTGTAGCAGCAATTATGTGCGGTGCAATATTAAAGGATTGAGTCATGTCTGTAACTGAAGAGTTTGGATGTAGCAGAGGGATAAAGGTCGGATGATTTGGATTACACAGATGCCATTCCTCACAAACAGTGAAGGCTACAGTTCTGTGTAAACAAAACATACAATTTTGGCTGTTGAGTAATCATTGATATCTGTGGTATGAAGTGAAACAAAACTATATGCAGTGACTAGGTATGTAACAATTCATCAAACTATCGGTGTGTTGCATTACTATCAAGATATTAGGGCTGGGAAGAGTCCAGATTTACTACCCGGGTACCCAATCCCCTATTACCCGACCCTACCCGGGTACCCACTGTAGGTCTCAAGAGTTGGGAACACAATGTCTAATTGGGAATAGTTTAAATGTAGCTCTGACAATAACTGTTTAGATACATGTATGAAACCAGAGACCACATAATAGATATATGGTCCCTTATGAAGTTGACTGAAGCTTTATCTTTACTCAAACATATACAAGACTTAGTCAAAAGGAATGTGTGCATCATCAGAAAGAAATGCGAACATTAGCGACTTGTAGTGTAACCACTGAGCTATAGTGAGTTATTGCCATTAAGCAATATGTCACGTGACTGACCACGGGTCCAGGTAGAACTGTGGGTGACTGGGTCCTATTCAGGACCCACCTGACCCAAGTACCTGAGTTACCCGTCCCAGCCCTACAAGATATACATGTATCGTATCATAATGAAGTGTATTACCTAGAGAATACTACTTATTTTCGTTACATACCATTTTTACGAAACGAGTGGACTTTCTATGGTAAGTTCATGTGTTTCGTAAAAATGGTATCTAACGAGAATGAGTGTCAGACCTCATGTACATCAAGCAGAATATAGTATTTTGCCAACTATGTTCACTGGGGATGTTGTGTATCATGATATCGATGTGTCGGTCAATTTTTAACGTCGGTGCCATACCGATGCAAATATATGCAGCGGTAGAAACTAACATTTTTAGTCCACTAGTCCTTATAATGATAACATATAGCAAAACCCTTAAAAATCGCATATTTCTACTGGTCCTTATGATACCTTAAGTATTGGGCAGTTTGGCAAGGACTACAGGACTAGTGCCAATTTCTAACACTGCTATGAATATAGATACAAAATTAATACCTTACTGGCACAGAAATGTTTTTGTGTATTGAGATAACCATTTGAAAATTCTGCTTTAAAGTTTTAATGGATCATCCCAGTTGATGTTTAGTATTAAATTAATTAATTGCAGATAAGTTTTATTTCTACACAAACAGAATAATTAATGTTATAATCAATATGTCTATATGTCGTGATGGGGCGGTCGGGTAGCCTAGTGTTTAAAGCGCTCGCTCGTCACGCCAAAGACCCGGGTTCGATTCCCGACATGGGTACAATGTGTGAAGCCCATTTCTGGTGTCCCCCGCCATGATATTGCTGGAATATTGTTAAAAGCAGCGTAAAACCATACTCACTCACTCGCACACTTTTTTCATATATTGCCCTTCAGACATGATACATGTATCAACAATAGTAATTGGCACTATTCCCAGATTTCTATATCGTCTTTGCCAAACTGCACTAGTTAAGGTATCATAAACAGTTTGTGACTTTGGCCACTAGTCAGTAGCCTGAGTCTAGTGAAGTTGCTTTAGGTCTAGTAAGCTTCACTAATAAAAGTCCATACATTAACACTGAGATCTACAGAAAATAATGTCAAGAGACATGCCCGCACTAGTAAGTCGCAAAGTTTTTCGCACAGACTGCCTAAGTATGAGTCGAAATTTGTGATTTTTAAGGGTCTTTCTATGTGTTATAACAAAACATTATGAGGTTAGTTTCTATCACTGTTGTTTTGGTCTGTATTGATCTGATGCATGACCTACTGATGCACCGAACATTCTAGATACGACCCAGTGGTGAGACACATCATGGACAAGAATGGTCATAAACATGATTAACACATCATACGTATGCACATGTTACATCTGCATATATTTGTATTATAACTGCATATTTGCAAACATTAAAATTTACATATGTGTGTGTCCTACTCGAGCCAG